CCCGCACCTGCCCCCGGCCCCCCCGGCCGGCTGTAATTCGTTTTCCGTGGGTGTTGCTGCGGGCACTAAAGCCGGTGCCGCTGCCCGGGGGGGCCCGCTTCTGGCTGCTAGACCCCATCCGGCTTTGGGGGGGGGGCTATCCCCGTTATCCCCCGTTTCGGTCCGGTTGCCGGGCCCCGGGACCGGGGGGGGATGTTGCAGGCGGGGACGTTTAACCGAATTTCACCGCAGCAGAGGGCAAGAATAACCCCGGGCAGGAGCGTGCGGCGGTGGTGGGGGTCCATCCCCAGGGCCGAATCCTGACCACCGAATAAGGGCCCCGGTTCCGAGCCGCAGGGTCACTTTTATGGCCCCGAAGCCCCACCGGTTTAAGGCGAAATTCGGCGCCTAAATCACGCTGGAGCAGCAATCGCCCCAGCAAAACTCCCCGGTTTGACCCTTCTGGGTGCCACCAAACTCCCCTGCCCCTGACATTGGCAGTTCTGGACTAACTGACGTACGCCAGGCATCACCAGGAAATAATCCAACGAGATACGATTATTATTATTTATTTAAGTGCAAAAAAACCCGTGGCAGGACCAAAATGCACGAGGGTGGGCTGCTATAAAAGTTGCCGTCGCCCTGCAATTGCCCTGCAGCTCCAGCCCCGAGCCCTGCGGTCGCCGCCAGTTGCCGGCCGTCGGGTTTCACGGCGTTACACGTTTGGGGCCTGATCCTGCCCCAGTCACGCGTGGTGCACGGCTCCCCGGGGCGAAGGACTATCGGCCCTGGGGAGGGAATACCTTCCCAAGGGGAATTCAGCCCCCGCCCTGTGTCGCCAGCACCTCGATATTTCATCGTCTGTGCGATGAAAAACCGTGATATTTTCATTTCTAATCGCTGTTAAATCGCAGGTTTTCCTCTCTATTTAACTACCTCCTTATTTTAGCAGGGACTGTGTCTTACAGCATCCACTTCAGCAAAATTTGGGGGGGGAGCCGAGCCTCCCCCCGACAAACCTAGCTACGGCTCAGCCTCGCAGACAGGATTGTTACAAATCTAATTCCCAATATTATTTATGAATATTGTTTTGCAAATCTCACCGAAGTAAAAACTTCTACCAAAGCCAGCGGGAATCGTGCCCGGGTGCCGCCAGCCCCTGGCCAAGGGGCTGGCGGGGGGAATTGATTAATCGCCGCTGGGAAAGTCGTTAGCACGCTGCAGAGAAATGAATTGGAGGGCTCGTTTTTTGGTTTTTTTTTTTTTCTTTTTTTTTTTTTTTCATGTGAAGGAATGAGGTTTCCTCCCCGCAGAAAGTCTCTTTAAGGAGTCCCCAACCTGGTGCTTTCCTTGGGGCGGGTGCTCGGTGCTGGCTCCGGTACCGGAGAACCGGACCGCCTTTGTGCTCCGCTTTCCACCCGCATTGCCGAAGCACCCATCCTGCAGCACCTTCCTCTCCGCGGGTGACGATCCTTTCCCCTTAACAGAAAAAAATAATAACCCAAACCCACCCCCAAACCCCAAAAGAAGGGCTCGGTGGGCCAGCTCGCTGCCTGGCGTAGTCCGGAGCCGGCGGGGCCGGGCTGCGCTGGAGGAGCGCATCCTTCCCAAAGGCTGCCCCGGGTTTGGAGCGGGGGGAATTGCGGTCTGAGGGATTTCTGAGGCCACCCGTCAGTTTGTTTCGTTTCTACCGTTATTTCTTTTTTTTTCTTTCTTTCTTTTTTTTCTTTTTTCCCGTCGGGGAGAGATAGGGATGGAAAGATGGACCCGCTGCTAATAAATCACGGTGCTGGCGAGCGGCGTGGGGCCAGACCTCAGCACATCTTGTCAGGCCATTACTCGGGTGCCCCGGTGCGTGGGAGGGTGCTGGGGCGCTGGAGGGGGCGAGGATTGCAGAGCTGGCTACGGATTTTCGTGGGATACGGCCAAATCCTGCCCGGGCAGGCGCCGGCGGGAGGCAGGGATGCACACTAGCTGTGCGGTACCTCCCGGGTACATCACACAGGACCCCCAGCCTCAGCAGCATCCCCCCACCCCGGGGAGAGGTTTGCCTTGAGGCTGCTGCATCCCTGGGGTGGTCCCCGGGGGGGAGAGGAGGGGGCCGTGGGGCTGTGCCCCCCCCAGGTCTGCCTGCCAGAGCATCTATCAAACCACCCTGCACACAGAGCCAGCCCTGAGACGCTGGTGGGCAAAGGCAGCGATGGAGCGCCTAATGCCATGAACATTATTCCTATTACATCAAATAATTTAGGTAAAACAAGTCGAAATAAATGCGAGGCTTTCTGCAGGCGGGGAGGCAGCGCGGAGCCAGCCCCGGCACAGCCGCCTCCGTTGCAAAGCACAAAGCAGAGCGCAGGGGTTGGATTTAAGATACTTTCTCTCTGCGTGCACTGGCCAAACCAGTGGGTTGAGTGGGACACCTCCTGGTACCCCAGCAGCTCCCATTATTATTATTATTATTATTATTATTATTATTATTTAGTACAGGGGAGAGCAGCCAAGCCGATGCGAGTTCAGCACATCTGTGTGCACGCACAGACCTGTGCGCATTTGGTTGGTGCCGAGCATCTGCAGACAGATCGGAAGCAAAAAATAGGACTCCTATTAAAAAAAAAAAAATTTCTCTGGAAATTTGGAGGAAGATATTGTATTATCTGCTGCAGTTGTTTGCTTGTTGAAATTAAGCTGTGTTGCTGCCTTTAGGAGAAAAGCTGTGTTTGTTTGCTTGTCAGTATGTATATATACGTAGATATACAAGTGAGTAGGTGTATATATATGTATATACATACACATGTTTATATAAATAACCATTTATATAGAAAACATGTTTCATAAACGTGCATACATGTTTATGAAATAAATGAGAAAGATTTATTAGCACTACCACCAAATGTGCCTCCTCTCGGGGCTGATGCTGTGCTGCGTGCCATCGTCTGTGCCAACGGCTTCCACATTGCTCTGAAATAGGTTTAACAAATGAAATGTGGAAAATGTGGCTAGTGCCGACCTGCAACCGTTGTGCTGCTCTCAGCAGCAAATTGGGGTGGGGAGCGAAGCATCCAGGTGTTTTTAGAGCGAGAAGGAGAAGAGGGACCTATAGAAGCTGTAGATAATTCTTTTTTTTCTTTTTTTTAATTTATTCTACTGTTGTTAATGCGACACAGGCTTAAATGCCAGCAATAAATATGGTCTGAAGGGCACTGGGATTGTAACTATCTAACCTTGTGAATGATAAAATAAGCTGCCTTCACTTGAGATATATGTCAGTACCCCAAAGTATTTTTAAATAATGTTGTTTAAGGCTGTAACAATACCATTTTCTCCTGTGCTCTTTTTCTTCCCCCCCTCTTTCTTTCCTCTCCTCTTTTCCCCTCCTTCTTTCCTCCTTTTCCCCCTTTCTTTCTTCTTTTCCCCCTTTCTTTCTTCTTTTCCCCCTTTCTTTCTTCTTTTCCCCTCTTTCTTTCCTCCTTTCCCCCTCTTTCTTT